CGGTGGAATCGAGGACGAGCCCGAACGATGATTCTGGCACGTTGTGCCGCTTGATATTATCATTTTCGATTCGATGCGGCGCGCGAAAATAATATTTGCCGTCGCCGTTAGGTCTCTGTCTCAAATAAAATATATATATAAGATCAGCTTTCTAAATTATTATTAAAACATTGGTATTAATATGGTTCGCATGCGCACGTTAGCACTTTATCAGTCTATATCGGCTGAATTTGATGGAGATAGTTATTAATTAACTGAATTTCGTTATTGAGCGTGATGGATAAGGATAACAAGATTCCGAATTTTATGTTGCGAGCTTCCAAGGTAAACACAGAAGATTAAAGTGCCGGGATAAAACTGTCACATAAATCGATAAGCTAATAAATACCGAGCTAGGGATCACCTCTTCCCCCCGCATCTCTCTCGCAAATGGAGTAAGTCCTACTTAAGGTCAGACTTCCTAGCAACGTTCAAATTGTGTCACCGGATACTTGCGGTTGACAAAGTCAGGGACAATAGTGCGGGTGGTTTTCCGATATATTCGCAAATGGAACAAACTTATTTGCGGCCGTACGTGTCGCGATGCCATAAACGACAGCTGTTGTTGAGATTGGCGAGTGATGAAGATTATTCAGCATTTTGGACAATGCCGTACCTCGCCGGACGGAATTGCATCTTTCGAGAAAGAATCTTTTCCTCCCGCTCTCTCGCACGTGGGCACACAAGGCCAAAGGCAATTCTTAGCGTGTGATTGCGGCGAAGAAAATACGAAGACCATCGCGCTCGAACAAAAAATAACGAGAATTTTAAAAGTATTCGAGAACTTCGAGGGAGCTGCGCTTTTAACTTAACTTTAACAGAGGATTAAGAAAATTTAACGGAAGTTTTATATCAATTGCAGCGGGGCTGGAGAAACTTGCTTATTAAGCATATTCCATTATGTATAATCAATTTCGGAGGACGTTTGATTATCAAATTATTCAGTTTAATATGCAAAACTCCGTCGCACGCGCGTATAAAATAGCCAAGTTTTAATCGGAATGCGAAATGTAACTCGCGCGAAACAAACGGGCGAGCGTAAAACTCTGATGAAAAATTCCATCTGGACGGAAATCACCGCTCAACGAATAAGATAGACGGATAGGGACGACGTTTTATCGTACAAATGAAACAGGCGACAAAGTAGGTTGCATCGTTCGGCGGGGCGAGGAATCCACGCGTTTCCATCCACCCTCTCGCTCTCTTCTTTCCCTTCTCCCTCCCCCGCCCCAACCCCTTCTCTTGCGCAGGACTGTGGACGGCGTGTCAGTGGCCCGAGCTGGTACCAACGCACTCCCATCCTGGGCCAACACCTCTCGTCCTAGTTTCCTTCTCGCTTGGCTTCATCCACCCCTTGGTACTTTCATCCCTGTCCAGGGGTACCTATCAACCGACCCCTCTCCTCTCTCTCTTTACTTGGCAATCTCCCTGTATGTGTATATCTATACGCGAATCGCGTCCATCTTCCGCTCGGTGCATTTTCACTCGCTTCTCCTGTTTTCTCGTTCCATTACGGTACCTCCACGTGTTTACATCTCAGTTCTACCGGGACGCGTTTCGGCGTTTGTAGGTGCACAATATTCCCGGCTCGTATTCTTTTCCCTTTTTCTTTTTCACGCAGCTCGCTTGTCGGTTCTGACGAAAATTGCGAGAAGAATATCTCTTATCGCAATGATTTACACTCAATCTTCTGTACGCCTATAGCAATTTGAATTATTAAGCTAAGGAATTTGAGCTAATCATTGCTAAATGGTTCACTGCGAGATTATATTGTATTAATTGAAGAGCTATATTACAATTAATTAACCTTCTCACTAATATGCTTCTCAAGGGTAGTTATAATATTTAGCGCTATTGCGAAGCGTAAATACAGGATTGGTAGATTTTACGGAGAAGGCGTGAGCTATTTGAAAAATCGCGGTGGGCGAAGATCGGTATTGTGCAATCTTATTAAAACTTTTCGAAGTGGCAGTGAATGTCAGAATCTTATGAATATTCCATCGAGCGCAAATCGAAGAATAATTTACGAAGGCGATCATTGTTCATCTGTCGTAATGATTAATCGACATCACGTTCCGGTTATATTATAATGTATCAAATAGGGAGATGAAAAAAGGACTTATCTGTCAGTTTCTTCGAATCCTACGCGCGCGTCCCTGTCAAACCTCTCTTGTAAACGAGGTGATTTTAAAAGCCCTGGGGGAACGTTCACGAGAATCCTCATCGAAATGGAAAGCAGGATTTTCAGGGCCGAGAAACGAAGTGGCGCGACTCGTTAATGCAATGGAAAAGTCATTATTCCATCGGTTTATCGTCAAATACATAAACGTTAAATATAAATTGTTCCGTTCCGTTATTATTATTTCGCGGCATGCCAGAAGCAATGCAGTTAACGCTTTGACGTGGCATAAAAGTCGTTTGGAAACGAGTGCGCAATTTGAATGCCCATGGGAAGTCCCGCGCGCGATCGAATTGGGGAGTTTTCAGCGCGGATCATATTTTGTAAGAGATAATTGTGTCGCCGGCGGCGATGGAATGCCAGTGACACCCAATTGCAAAATTTCCAGTGGATTTGGGTCATTCGGTGTCCTAGGTTCGACGGTGCATTAATGACAGCTGTGCAGTGCAAGTGAAATATCGCGCTCAGGGTATTCTAAAACTTCCAGCTGACAGTGCCAATAATTCATTCCTTATTCAACCGTCATAATTTATATTACAAATCCGATATACAAATGGTAATTTTCTTTCTTTTTTTTTTGTCAAAATACGAGGGATACACGGAAAGTAAGAATCGAACGCACACGACGCATGTTTCTCATCGTTAAATGTATTTGTACGTATATAATGGAGAATTCATATTGTGTGTGCAGATGACAGATATTTGACATTCCGATATCCGATGGAGGATGCTTTGCTTTTTCTACAGAGTAAATTTTTCTATCTAGCGAGAGTTTTCTCTGTGAAAAACGAATGTTTCGATTGAATATCAGATATCGAACACCGGACGTAGCCGTAAATCTTCTGTGATAATCTCCCTATTAATAGTCCCCTCAGTGAATGGTCCTCTAAAATATCAACGTCTCGTAATGCGCTTTCAACAAGCAGCAAATATCGCGAACTGTTCCGAAACAATCGAACGATGCTTGACATTGTTGGATATTACGCCATTGCTCGCCACATCATTTACCTATGTCTCGCGCCATCGACATGAAACACACACTCTCTATTGAAACTTTTCGCGTCTCCGGACTGTAGGGTGTCGAGAACACGCTGACACAATACGTTAACGAATGGAAACAATCGTAACTGCATAAGTTGCATGGTCGATCGCGCGTGCAAGTGAATATTGTGTTTCGAAATGACTCTATTATAATTTAGTTATATTATTATGAAATATACAAAATTAATGCTTTATTTCTGATTAGATTAAAAATTGAAAATAATTTTATTTTTAAAATATGAATTTCGCTGTAAACAAAAGCACTTTAGCGATAAATGAGGAGGGTGAAGAAAAATTAAATAATAACAATAAATATATTTTATTCTCTGCAGCATACAATAAAATACAAAATAAATACCAGTAAAAAATGATACAATAGACAAAATAAATCTATTTTTGTTTAAAAGTGTAATATTGTGTGTCAATATCCACATAAAATGATAATTATACAAAATAAAATTTAAAACTTTCAATATGAGATAATAATGGCCAAAAAATCACCAAAAATTTTTTTGTTTGTAAATAAAATATGTAAGGAAAGGGAGGGAAAATATCTGAAGGGAGTTTATAAATTTTCTTTTTTGTCCAATGCAAATTTGAAGGTACTATTGGCGTTCATTATGCTTTGTAATTTAATAAAATTTAAAACTTTCAATATGAGATAATAATAACGTCTAAAAATCATCAAAAATCCTATTTGTAAATAAAATATGTATGGAAAGGGAGGGCAAATATCTGAAGGAAGTTTATAAATTTTCTTTTTCGTCCAATGCAAATTTGAAGATACCATTGGCGTTTATTATGCTTTGTAATTATGCGCGCGCACATCGACATCAATTATAGGTTCGTTTAACTATAAATTTCTTAAGAGTACGGCGCGTTTGAATTGAAGCAGATAGTGAACGTATGAATAATAAATGTGACGGAGCGAGCAGTAAAAAAGGAAGACGTAGAAGAAGATGTCTAAGAAGAAAGAGTGATAAAAGCGACCATTAAATTATAGGAAACTTTTACGGCGTTTTATCGGTCAGACGAGTAAATTTACGAGACTGTATTATTTGCGCAACGTGAACAGAGACGCCGATCACATATATATTAATTATAAAATATCGGCAGAATTGCGAACATTGTAACTGATATGTCGTCGAAACGTGTGGTTTTCTGAAGAAACTTGATGGTCGACTCTCCGATCAACTTCGTCGCAATTTTGATCACTGTGTATCGAAAGAGTATAAAACAGGATATCTCTTCTGGTAAAATCGAATATACATCGTCATCAAAGGGCTTTAGAAAGAAAAATCTATGAGATCCCGTATTGACTTTGTCAAGCAAGATGGCGTCCGATGGCATTCCTTCAATACGATTTGCTTCTTTCTCGACGTTACTTGGAAAAATTCTGGGATATCTACAATCCCAAGACTGTGCTTTAATTATTTCGACCAAAATTTAAACTGGAATTAATAATTTTGAAAATTAAAAATATTTACATGAATCACTCATTTTTTTATGAAATAAGTTTTTTGCCCTATATTTTATATGTATTCTTCTTTTATATGCGGAAAAGCACGAAAAAAGAAACAAGAAGCTTTAAGGAAAGTAACTTGCTATATAAAAATAAATACAAAAAATTCTTTTACGTATGTTAAGTTTTGAGAAAAGCAATTTGAAAGCTTAATAATATTACTTGAAAAATATTAATAATTTGTAATATCAATTAGTAAATTAATTAGTAAATTAATATTACAAATTATTAATATTTTTCAAGTAATATTATTATACTTTAAGTATTAACCATTGAAATTATATTTAATTGAAATCTGAATTATCTTTAAAAGCCTAATATTCGTATATCTTGTCATAACGTGACAGTCAAAAAATGTGTCATAAATTCGATAAATCAACAGTGAAAGAATTTAATGTATGGTTTATTCGGACTATTCCGTATATTTTTTGTGCATCGTATTTTTTCACCAAATCAATAATTCGACTACGAACAAGGAGGTAGAAATTAGGCTTTATTAATTATTACGTTGAGATATTCGTATTGCATGCAGAATCTTTAATGCACTACCTGTATTGCACTATTCTACCTACATCGTACATGTCGGGAATACATATCGAGGATGCATTATCGCTTGCAACTGGATATCTCGGTGAAAAGCACGTCAAGGTTTCTCGCGAGATGCCTTCGATCGCCTCGAACTGAAAAGTTTGCGGGTCATTCGTCGAATTTCTGGCTGCACTTTCGTCGATGTCAGAACATGTTACCGTCAACGACACGCTTCGACGATCCTAGAGAAAGCCTCTATGTCACGATGACGTATTATACAAGGCGTAACGCCTTAGTTCCACGATCGCTATTAATCTTAACTTACGAAATAAAATCTTTTCAATATTATTAATAATCCCCTTTTGTAAAGCCCGTGTATTCTTGCGACACATTAATACAAAGCAGATTTTGTAATCGTAAAAACGCAAATGTCCACGTCAAAAACAATTTATTTACTTGCACAGCTTTGTAAAGCAAATGAAATACGCGGACCGATTAATTTTAATTTATCCCAGACATGTGACCCACTTTAATGTTTGAGACGGGCGCAATCCCTCTTAATACTCAATTCTGCATAAGCTTGCAATCGCGTTCGCCGGTAAATCTTCATTGGCAATAGGTCGACTTCGGATTAGCCCGAACGAATCTGCAACTAAAGAAAAAGCGTGGCGTTTCTGGCACACCCTGTATAGTTCCACGCGAGAGTGTATTTGCCGTTGTAAGTCGATATCACGAGGGTCGAGGGAGACGGAATTCGTGTCCCTTATCGATGGTTAGATGAGTAAGATGTCTGCCTTTATTTAGGTCAGATTTGTGCGTGCTTCAGTCCTAACGAAATGAAATGAACAAACAATTTTAACTCTAAACCCTGCTATCTTTCACAAGGCATGAAACTCTCGTTTCATGAAAAATGTTGAAAATGCAAACGTTATGGGCTAAGCTGACATCGATAGTTAAGATAAATTTGCTTTCTGCCACACGTATTCTCATTGATGCCATAGCTTATGTTCGTGATATTATTTTTTTGTTATATACATTTTATAAACGGTGAAGTATTTAATATATGTAATATTAAATATTTAGGATCCCTAATTTTTACATAAGAAAACGTTGCTGTTCGAATCTTCACCACTCATCGTCCGACGTGGACGATAACGGAGAAACGTCCACGACGTTATCAACCCCCCTCGACGCGACATCTCGTGGGATATCGTGGGTGAAACGGATAACGCTAGGATAGAACGATCACTTCCGGGAAGGGACAGCGCGTGGGAAGTGATAGCACACGGATGCAGGGTAGGGTGCAAATAGGGTGCGAACATATACCGAACATGACGGCACGTAGACGACAAGGCACCGGGGTTGTCTTTAGTTGACGCGAGAATGCACGCACACCGTGTCAAAATATTCCGTTCTCCGCTATCGTTTTATTGATCGCCGATGTAGACACGCGTCTCGAAACACCGACGCAATTGTACATACAAGGATACGAGAATACACATGAACAAACACGTATGTACACACGTACACACACGCATGTACACACACGCATGTATACACGTACACACACACACACACATACACACTCACACATATGTATCTATGAAACTCGCACACAGGACGGCCGTACTTTGTCGGATAACACTCCCGTTTCCGTTCAATGCGAATATCTCGTTTTGGTGACATTATGGGCGGTGGATTTTTGCATCCGAAAATAATACATCGACGATGAAATTCTTGCCGCTATCTGCTTTACTCACGTGATTTTTCCGCTCGCGCGAAACGCTGCTTTTTCTTGGCAACAGATGTGGCACAGGCGCCCGGATGCGTGGTGACTCGTGCGGAGTATCAGACCGCGACAGCCATGTTGGCAAGGGTGTAGCGCCCCTAACCGACCTGCCTCGAAGTACAAGTTCTCTCTTCTCACCCCCTTCGCTCGTGGCCGTCGTCTCCTCCCCGTCCACCCACCCACCCTGTTAGGTTGAATGAAATTTTCGATGCGCTAGTCATTAATCAATCGAGAAACTGAGTTCAGTAAACACGTCATAAAATAGAATAATAATACAGGTCGTCTCGGAAACACCGAATGTTTCTTCAATCGTAGCTTTACAGCCGATTGAAGGATATAATTGTTTTTTTTTTTTAGCAAGAAATGTTAAAAGAGATAATTTACAATAATTTTCTAATTTTTAATATCGCTCATTTTTATAAATCTCAAATTGAGATTAGAACTCTCTAGTGAATCAGTGAAGTCACTCACTGTTTATCATAGTTGTAAGTACACTAAAAATCAGTGATAATTCCATTTTTAGAGAGAATATATTCTATGTCAAATTAAAGATTTTAATTTTTTTAAATTATAATTTATCATTTATTTGCTCTTTCTTGAAAGTTAACCAGATGCATCTTATTTATTATATTTCACATGTCTCCAGTTTGCTGAAAAGAAACCGTTTATCTTAAATATACGGTTTATATATGTATATATATATATATGTATACAAATGAAAGAAAACTCGTGCTCTTTCTTTATACATCTTCTTTACGATCGGAACTATAAAAACAGTTGTTTTCACGATTGAAAGACGCTTCTTACAAAACCCTCTTTCTTGACAAATGCGATCGAACATCCTGCAGAGGTAGGTAAACCCCTAAATCTCCCCTTAGATGTGCAGTTACGCGTAGCCGTGGAGAGGTGCGCGCCGCGGGAGACGTCAGGATTCGGCCTTTCTTCGCCTTTCCGCAGAAACGATGAGATATCGGCTATGGAAGATGGATAAGGAAACCGTCTCGATTTATATCGGACTCCTCCACCGTCGCCAACGCCTCGTTCTCGCTACTTTTATCGGTCGCCGTGCCGCCGTCAGTTTACCCCGCTCAATGCCTCTCGCAAGAATTTTGCTTCTTATCAATATATAATAATCAGACTTGAGATTTATCAAATGGACCCCACGACCTGTCGCGTCAAGGCCCCCAATATCTTGTCGTTTAAGATTCCAGAGGATCCTCGAGAGTTCTGCATATTTTAATTAAATATTTACAACAGGCAGGTGCGCGTTTCGCCGATAATGGCAGGATTCGAGATGTCGGATTGTTTCGTTGAGAGCAGTAACCGTGAATGAAAGATTAATTGCTTCTGTCATTTGTAAGCTGATATCTGCGACGCGCTTAAGTACAGGGTATTAGAAGCATTTATGCGATCAATTTGCGTACCATCTTTCATTAATAACAATAATTGTCATGTATTGAAAACATTTTTTCGCTCCTTATTTACATATCTTTAAACTGAAAAGTTTCTAAATAAAAGTAAAATTTAACTAAAATCTATAACTGCGAATTAGTTGCGCTTGATGAAACACGAAATTTACTTTAGGAATAGCAGAGATACAAGATGGTATATGTACGGATAGAAGATATGTACAATAGAAATAACTGTGTGAGAAAAAGACGCATGGTCCATTCGTCACGTTGTCACCGTGAAGCATTAATATTTCATGGGGACGCCAAAGGCTATCTTTTTCTCCATCGCTTCATCGTTTATTCATTCGTTTGATTATACAATATCGAGAATAAACTGATCACTGATTGTAGTTAATATTTCTAAACTATTGGTTCGTCGATTAAAGCATGAAATCTTGTAAATTTTTAGTCTTACTCTAGCACGAGAAAGATATAAATATACTAAAGTAACATCCTTTTTCGTGTAAAATAGCTACAAATTTTCTCGACAAGCGCGCACAGCCGGCTCTCTCTTTTTTTCTTCTTTTTTTCATTAGAACACGCACAACACCGAGAGCAAACTGCTGCGAAACATCACTGCTCTGGAAAATCGTTAAAATCCAAATCCCCGATATATTGTCCTCATTGCGCTCAGGGAAAAAAAGGAAGAAGCGACAGCAGAAACCCGAACGGTTTTCGCGCCGCTCGTTTCCGCGCGAGTTTTTATCGTTACCAACGCCGCTTTTTCGTGTTCGTTATACGAACACGAAATTTTTTTTTCCTTTTCTCAGTCGCACCACCACATCGTGCGATAACGCAATCGCTCGCGCGTCACGCATAAAAGGACGAATAAAAGGTCGCCAAGACGAGGCATGCAAAATCGATGTTGCCTCTCCCTCGTGAATTCTCGTTTTTGCTCTTTCGCCGAATTATTAATGATGCGCTCGAAAACGGCCCGGTTGCATCTAACGAAGTTGGAAACTCGAATTGTTAATCACGTACGGTAGGGTAACCCTGGCATGCACGGTTCCTCACTGCCTCACTGTCTCAATAATGAGCATAATCAAGCGAACGATAATCAACTCACTTTTGTGTACTGCATTAAGTTGGCGCACTAATAGTATATAACTTTCGGTATAAGTACAACTTGAAGGTATATTAATGAGATAAGTTGAGTTGAAGTACGCCGCTTTGTTCCAGAAATCCGATCGTAATAGTTTAATATGCAACGAAAATACATCTCTAGAAAAAATAGTGTATTGATTTCTCGAAAATTTGAACTTTTCGACGCCGTATATAACTTTTACTCGAGATATTGCAATTTTGATACGTTGCTTAGCCGAAGCATAATTGTAACAACACAGCCTTCAGCTATCAGGAATATCGCAGCCGAAACGCGAGTAATCGCGCCACGAGCTTCAAATGCTAATTAGTACGGGGAATTTCAGTTAGGAGCATGAGTGCGCCGAAATAACGACCATACCAATTCTGAGCGAACGTTGGTTATATGGAAGCATATCAGCGCCGGACATGTGTTCGAACATCCTGAGATTGCGTTTCGGAAAACGCTGATTTTGGGAAAGACGAATCGATTGCGCGAGTGTATCGCTCCGCGGGGACCTTTTCCTGCTTACGTGGCGAATTTTACTGGCACTGGTTAGCCATCGAGAAAAGTACCATCGGGAAGTTCAAGAAGTCTTACAAGCTTCGAATATACTTCGCAGTTGCTTTGAGTAAAATGTCGAGCCATTGTAAAAGTTCGAAACAAATCTTCGATAATTTTATTCGATAGCGATTTTTCGATAGATCGTTTAATTTCTCAACAAGATAATGATTTTTCATAAAATTTTAATCTCATGTGTTTAAAAACATATCTTTTTGTTATTTCGAAAAATATCATATTTTTCTATGTGAACAAATAACTGCAAATACAAAGAATAAGAAAAAACTAATTTTTTAATTTTAGATTACTCTAGTTGCTACCTAGTCTAAATTTTTTATAAACATCATTTTCAAGAGAGTCAGTAACTTTAATATTTTTCAATATTTTTGCACGGGGAATATTATATAAAAGTAATTAGTATACGTTTTAATAAACATTTAATTAAAACACGGAAATTCCATTATTTTAATTTTCAAAAAAATTTTAAAGTTGACCTACTTTTTTAAATTCAGTTACCTTATCTTTTAATGAGATATATCGTCGATAGTGTCGACATTTTTTGTCGACATAATAAAGTCACTTGGAAACCAAATCGTTCTGTCAGATTTTTTATCAATTATATTACGAATGCTTGCGTTGAAATTTACTCGACCCTTGTTCTCGTATTCGTCGATTTACATTTCTCAAGTTTAATTTCATTGTAAGACTTTCATTGTGTATGATGTAACTGTACTGTAGTTGGAGAGTTTTGCACCGCTAGTACTTTCTAAAGGATAGTATTCATTTCGAACAAAACAGCTCGAGCATCCTTTATCCCTCTTGTCCTCCCTTCTGCCACGAGGCTTTTGGCTGCACTTGAGAGGTGGTACTGTCTTGAGAACCGATCGCAGTATGCACGAGGCTCCTTTGGTTTTCATTAAAAGTGCACGGAACAAACGAGATCGATACTTCCGAGACTTTATATATAATTCGATACTGATTTACAATTGCTTGTCGATTCTGAGTTAAATATTTGACTGAAAGTTTCAAATTTTTTAATATGAAGGAACTATTTGAAAATAATTTACTCAGAATAATTAAGATATATCTTGTTCAATGCATTCAAACTTTTACATATGTTTTTTTTCTATAAAACAAAATGATATAAACAATATATTATAACAATAATTATTTAAATATTGAACAGCTTATAGAATCGAATAGAATTTGTTGCCAATTTTTCTTCAGTGTCATTTGTCTAGAAAATAATATTTTTTTCTTCTTTTAAATCACGCATTACATTTCCCGATGCGCGCGAGCGTTTTCAACCGCTGTTGTGGCCAAATAATTATGACCCTAAAAGCGGTTTCTCGAAAATTGGCGGTCTCGATATGTCCAAGGGCGGAGTGTCCTGAAAACCGCTCGCCGGAGAGCCTCGGCTCTCTAAAAACGGGACTCGGGACATAAACCTACGATGATATTTTCCCATGCGATTTGAGCGTTCTCAAAAAAATTCTTCGAAGCAAGCTCCTTTCGCGAGATAGCTCGCGGACGTTTTCGCGCTTTTGCTGGAGTGCGCGAGCCTCTCGCGTACGCTCGCGAACGAGTCGCGAGGAGCGAAGCGCGCGCCACTGTCAGTAAATCGATGCGAGGGAGACGACGCGATCCTCACCCTCTGTTCCGCCACCACCACCGCCACCGTCGCTACCACCCTCGCTGCCTTCTCTCTCTCTTCGGTAATTTAAGCTCCGACTCGGTTCAGCTGAGTTCAGTTGCGCCACTTGGCCGTTGCGGTTCGCGTGCCGTCGCAAGTTAGCGCTAGCAAAAGCTTTCTCGTGCGCGCGCGATCTCTTGACAGACTGTCACGTCTTTTTTTTTCTAAAATTTGCGGTTCAATTGTCACTTTTGCTTTCTCTCTCATATATTCTTGTCTAGAGAAGTGCGTGAGGTGCGCGTAGGAAAAGAGAAGACAGAAGAGTGCTGCAAGCCTTCGATGT